CGCCGATGAAGGTGAAGCTGCTTTTTCCGTACGCCGTGTCCTGCGTGTTCGGCGGCATGGGCCGCGCCTGGGGCATGGCTATGGTCGGGCTCCACATTATGATCTGCATCGTCAAGGTCATCTCCTTCACTACTGACCCCGAGGAGGCCCGCCTCTGGATACCGATCTTCTGCGTCTGGGTGTACCTCTGCATCGCCGCCACGGTGGTCATGACGTGCGTGTGCATCGTCTACTACATGCCCGTGTATGGGGTGTACGCCATGAGGTACGATCCGCCGCCGCCGCAGCAGCCGGCAGCGGCAGCGGCGGTGCAGCTCCCACCTCCCCCTCCAGAGATGGACATGTGCTAGGTTTGGTCTGTGCGTGCGGTATGTGTTTCGTTGCTTGCCCCAGGTGCGTTCTCTAACCTGTTCTTCAAGTCTCTGTTTTAGTTGCTTACACAGGTGTTGCTGCCCACCTTGCTCAAGGTACATTCCCTCCCCTTCCCGGCCCTATCTTTGGTTCAGCACTTTTATTCTCGTATTGCTTTAATTATGCAGCTACAAGCATCTGAAATATTAAGTTTTCAAAACTGAAAATATCTGGATTTTAGGTTCCATATATAGTATAGTTGTCTGCGACCCATATGGTTTGGTGCAGATTTCTTTTTTTGTGCTAGACAATCTGTTTTCAATTTGTTTAGGCACCACTAAAAATTGGAAGATGCTTCAGGTGCTTCTAGCTATTAATTGGTACGTTTTTCAAGGCTATGCTCAATCTATCTTTTATAGAACAATGATTCCACAATGTGATGATACTTCAGTAGTTGCATTGTGGGGGCACTTCAGTGGCTAGAAATTTGTTAGTTATTGTCCTTGTATGTTTTTCCTTGTTTCTTACTTTCTGTATTTTTTGTTATTTGTGATAAACAGGCTTTGTGATGAAAAGATCAATGGAAGGACCAGTGTGCTGAAAAGATTTTGCTTTCTCTTGCCCCACCTGCCGAAGCATAGATAGAGGACAGATGGTGGCAAACATCAGTGAAAGCACATCACTTGACGGCCCGAGCTTAACGTGACCATCACAGAAAAGTGGAGGAAAAGAGCAACCTGTTGAGTGCATGGTAATAAAAATGCCAGCGCACTGAATAAGGATAGAACACAACAAGTAGAGCTGGAAAATACTGCAAACCAAGTGGGAGAAGACCCAAGTTCGAAGTTTTTAACTGCAATAGTTATTACTTTTGTGCAGCTTGAAGTTTCTCATTTGCAGTAGCTACTTTTTATTTCATAGTTTGTTCAGTATCTTTAGGAAAGATTGAAGAAGATATGGTGTATAGTTCAAAATAGTTGTTTAGACTGCATGTTTCAATTTTGTTCATTCAGAAGGTGCTTTTATGTCTCTATAAAAGAATTTGTTGGAGTAGTGTTAGAAATGAATTTGTTTGAGTTCTTAATAATTTATCACTTTGTCTAGTTCTACTTGGGTTTCTTTTGTTTCCTGTGGTGTTTCTGCTGGGTTTTTATCACTCCTGGTGACCCAAGTGTGACCTCTGTAGTATATGCACAAAAATAGCAGCAGTGTTGAAAAAGGTCTGAAAATTTTGTAAAGAATGGTACAGAACAAAGATTTCTATAGTAGTTTATTTATGCTATTTTAGTATCTGACTGTACTATGAAAATGGGACAATAGGCAACTAGCATCTAGTACTTCCATTGCATGCTGATTGGGAAGTCTAATTGAATTGTGATGACTGCCTAGTCTTGGGTCTCACACATAGGCGATTTGCGACATATGCCAATGGCTATGTGATCCCTTTCTGCAAAATGAAACAGCTAAGGATTTTATTTTCCCTTTTTGCGCGCATAAAAAATGGAATGAACTGACTATTAATACAATTGTACTGTGACACTAATTTTGTTTTATGTTTTGGAATCAGGTAGTCACTTGATATATGTCAAAACTGTTAATCTGGTAGTATTTTCTTGTTAGTGATGTTGATAGCTAACCTAACATTTCGTTTGTTTTGACCTTTTGAATTATTATTTTGCAAACCTTCAGGTCTGGGGACAAAGATAATGCTAGATATCGTCTAGTTGGTGGCATTGAGCATTGCAGGAGGACCTAACGGGGGGGGTGCACTTTTTGTTGCTTATGCGAGAGGAAGCAGGATTGTCCTTGAGCAGGAGACAAGCAATAGCTTTTCCGCTTGGTTTCGTGCTAATGATAAAAGCATCAGAGAAGTGTCTCTAGACGAAGTTCTCAAGTGCGAGGCTTTCCTTCTTTTCTATGAGAGAAGATAGAAGCTTGAGACATGCATCATATTATGCCCAAGTAATAAAATGAGCAATCAAATGGCATTGGCAAGCATGATTTGTTGAGGATCCATTCAGTGCACTCAGTCCATACATGTACTGCTTTTGCTGAGGCATTGCAGGGCACCTGGTTAATGATGGCTTGTGACCAGTTGGGGAAATTGTTAGCTAATCTACTGAGTGTTTCTTCTTGCTCTTTTAGAAGGAATTAGGGCATGCTGTATTGGCTGGACAGAGTAGGAAATTGATCAAAGATTCACATCGTTGTCTGGTTTTGTTGGATGGTACTCGATCTTATGTGCCAGGGATTCACATTTTGTGACCACATGCCTCGTAATACAGATGTTTCTTCATTTTTGGTGATTTTGGTTATGGAAGCGTTTCCTTGTTTTGTGAATGGTGGTTGCCAAGGATTTTTTTTTTGTTTGCCTAGGAGAATGACGGTGTAGGATTTTTTCCTTGTAGGGCCAGGCTAGTGGAGCATTTTTACACCAAACGATATTACGCGGGTTTGGAAGTTGAGTCTCTCACGGGTTTTTTTGAGCTAGATATTCATAGCTCAAGAAAATCCTAGTAGACCTATAGCTGAAGATACATTGAGAGCATTTAGACCAGTACGGAGCCACCGACAGGACACCCCATGCAACTGGCCGGGCTCGTTGGCAAAGCTCAAAAGAAAATGTTCTTTATATCGAAGAACACTGTAATTTGCTAGGTAAATATTTTTGCATGATGAGAATCGCTAAGCTTCTAAAAGCCTCTGGCTCCACCACTTATTTGGATAATTTTTAACTTTATTTATAGTTTGTACTAGATATATAAATACATATTTCAACACCTTCAATTTAATCTATCTTTTCTTTTGGGTGTGACTTTCTTCATCCATATCTATCTTCTATATTTTTTTCCACTTTGGATTTTGTTTTTCTCGTATTATGATCTGTCTTATTTTTTTCTTTTTTTGTTTTTTTTTCTCACAGTACCTCCACCAAACGTTATTCTTTTTGAGACACATTTTGAATACTATCACATCTTTTATTGTGGGACGGAGGAAGTAGTCCTAATAAGTGTTGGTATACGCAATGACCAACTAGTTTGTTTTCTGAACCCTAACCAATTCTGTAATGGAAGCATCATCTTGAACAACAAGTGATCTACATCCGATCCAACCCCCATGCACCTTGGACGCTCGGGCAAAACCATGCCAGTGGGAAAAGAAAAACAATAGGAACTTTGAAATACTTTGAAGGATGAACACGTTTAGAAGTAGTGGAATTGACATGAGGTTCGTGTAGTTATGTGACAGATCTTATTCATCTGAAATAAAGTGATATAGTTGTTACTTAATCCATGGAACAAACATCAACCCACTCATATGACACGTTGAAAGAATATCAACCGCCAATACCAGCCATACTGGATCTGGAAGCCCGGATACACATTCCGTCATTGAGAGATGCCGAGATTTAAATCCAACAAGATGGTAACACAAAGACACAGATAAGAACTCGGTTGTCCCTCCAATTGCATTGCCTTTGCAAAAACAAAATCAACTAGAAAAACACCGGATTGGATGATTAGAACAACACCTGCACTAAACGTATTATTTGTGATAAATAAGAGATCTAGCAAGCAATCAACAACGACGATACCGGTCAGTAGCACATGAAATGGATGGGACAAACTTTATTCAATTTAATATAAAACCCTAAAAACTACTGGACTTAAATTACGGAGGAAGGTCCCTGCTCCTTTTATAGCCAGCGAAGTTGCCCCACGGGAAGGAGAGGGACCATGGTGATCACAAACCGCAGCAGCAGAGGACGCTAAAGAGACAGGTTGAAAATTAATTCGTCTAAACTAATCGATACAAATCTATTTTATATATCATTTTCCTTTACACTATGCATTTTTGTTAAAAAAATCCAAAAAAATACTAGACCATTGTATGATGCTTGCAGAATAACTGTTACGAGCTTGGAATCAATATATCGAGCTATTCTCAACATCAATATGCCAAACGAAGATTTATTTATGGGTTTGAATCGATACACAAAGTATTTTTTGTTTTTGCGTGAAGCTTACACCAATGCACCCATTTATTTTATTTTATTTTATTTTATTTTTGTCGTCAAGGCTCAAGGGGTAAAGACGCTAATGATGAAAAATCCTATTTTTTATTTATTTTTGTTAAAAAAGAGCTCAAGGGTAAAGTCGGTACAACGAAAAAACCCGCGGTTAGCCTCCCCGCGCCGGAGCGGAGGCGGGAGGCCGAGCAGCCGATTCCGACTCTTCTTCTTCCTCCAGGCTGGCGCGTGAGGGATACGCGACACCAGAATTCCATGAACCCACTCTGCGACTCATCTTCCCGGGCAATAAAACCCTAGCGCGTCGGCGCCGCTTCCCCCCGCCTCCCAGAGCAATCGATCCCCAGAGTTTTCGATTCCCCCATCCCGATCTCGATCTCCTGAGTCCCGACCACAGCTCCGCGCGCGCTTCGCGATCTCGACCCGGCGGCTCCCTCGATCGATTCCGGCGAGGCCGCTGGTGCTCCTTCCTCCTGGCCCGATGTCAGCAGGTGTTCCTCTCTCCTCGCTCGATCCCAGCTCCTCTCGAGTCGTCGCCCCTTCGGCTCCTGCTGCGATGCTGAGCCCACCTCCGGCCCCACCCGCAGCGGCGCAGGATGAGAAGCGTCCCTCGCCGCCGATGAAGGTGAAGCTGCTTTTTCCGTACGCTGTGTCCTGCGTGTTCGGCGGCATGGGCCGCGCCTGGGGCATGGCTATGGTCGGGCTCCACGTTGTGCTCTGCATCATCAAGGTCCTCTCCTTCACTACAGATCCCGAGGTGGCCCGCTTCTGGGTACCGATCTTCCGCGTCTGGGTGTACCTCGGCATCGCCGCGATCGTGCTCATGACGTGCGTGAACATCGTCTACTACATGCCCGTGTATGGGGTTTGTACGCCATGAAGTACGATCTGCCGCCGCAGCAGCCGGCGGCAGCGGTAGTGGCGACACCTGAACAGCTCCCACCTCCTCCTCCGGAGATGGATATGTGTTAGGTTTGGTCGGTGCGTTCGGTATGTGTTTGATTGCTGGCGCCAGGTGCGTTTTCTAACCCATTCTTCAAGTTTCTGTTTACTCGCTGCTTACAGTTACATGTGTTGCTGCTCTCTTTGCTCAAGGTACATGCCCTCCCCTTCCCGGCCCTATCAAAATTCAGCATCTTCAGTATTGCTTAATTGTGCAGCTATAAGTATCTTTAATGTCGTATTGCTTAATTGTGCAGCTATAAGTATCTGAAATCAGAAATATTAAGTTTTGAAACAGAAAATATCTGGATTTTAGGTTCCATATATAGTATTGTTGTCTGTGCCTATATGATTTGGTGCAGATTTCTTTGCTTGTGCTAGATCATCTCTTTTCAATTTGTTTAGGCACCACTAGAAATTTGGAAGATGCTTCAGGTGCTTCTGGTTTTGTTATTAAATGGTATGTTTTTCAAGTCTATGCTTAATCTATCTTTTATAAAACAATGGATCCACAATGTGTTCATACTTAAGTAGTTGCATTGTGGGAGCACTTCATTGTATGGGAATTTATTATTTGTTGTCCTAGTACGTTTTTTCCTTGTTTCTTACTTTCTGTATTTTGTGTTCATTTCATTTGTGATAAACAGGCTTTGTGATAAGGGATCAATGGGAAGGACCAACGTGCTGAAAAGATTGTGCTTTCTCTTGCCCCACCAGTCAAAGCAAAGATAGAGGACAGATGGTGGCATACATCAGTGAAAGCACATCACTTGACGGTCCGAGCTGAATGTGACCATCACGGAAAAGTGGAGGAAAAGAGCAACCTGTTGAGTGCCATGATAATAAAAATGCCAGCGCACTAAATCTGGACACAGAACACGACAAGTGGAGCTAGAAAATACTGCAAGCCAAGTGGGAGAAGACCCAAGTTCGAAGTTTTTACTGCAATAGTTATTACTTTTGTGCAGCTTGAAGTTTCTCATTTGCAGTAGCTACTTTTTATTTCATAGTTTGTTCGTTATCTTTAGGAAAGATTGAAGAAGATATGGTGTATAGTTCAAAATAGTTGTTTAGACTGCATGTTTCAATTTTGTTCATTCAGAAGGTGCTTTTATGTCTCTATAAAAGAATTTCTAGTTGCCATTTGTCTGACCTGGAGTAGTGTTAGAAATAAATTTGTTTGAGTTCTTAATAATTTATCACTTTGTCTAGTTCTACTTGGGTTTCTTTTGTTTCCTGTGGTGTTTCTGCTGGGTTTTTATCACTCCTGGTGACCCAAGTGTGACCTCTGTAGTATATGCACAAAAATAGCAGCAGTGTTGAAAAGGGTCTGAAAATTTTGTAAAGAATGGCGCAGAACAAAGATTTCTATAATAGTTTATTTATGCTATTTTAGTATCTGACTGTACTATGAAAATGGGACAATAAGCAACTAGCATCTAGTACTTCCATTGCATGCTGATTGTGAAGTCTAATTGAATTGTGATGACTGCCTAGTCTTGGGTCTCACACATAGGCGATTTGCGGCATATGCGAATGGCTATGTGATCCCTTTCTGCAAAATGGAACAGCTAAGGATTTTATTTTCCCTTTTTGTGCGCATAAAAAATGGAATGAACTGACTAATACAATTGTACTGTGACACTAATTTTGTTTTATGTTTTGGAATCAGCTAGTCACTTGATATATGTCAAAACTGTTAATCTGGTAGTATTTTCTTGTTAGTGACGTTGATAGCTAATCTAACATTTCGTTTGTTTGACCTTTTGAATTATTATTTTGCAAACCTTCAGGTCTGGGGACAAAGATAATGCTAGATATCGTCTAGTTGGTGGCATTGAGCATTGCAGGAGGACCTAACATGGGGGGGTGCACTTTGTTGCTTATGCGAGAGGAAGCAGGATTGTCCTTGAGCAGGAGACAAGCAATAGCTTTTCCGCTTGGTTTCGTGCTAATGATAAAAGCATCAGAGAAGTGTCTCTAGACGAAGTTCTCAAGTGCGAGGCTTTCCTTCTTTTCTATGAGAGAAGATAGAAGCTTGAGACATGCATCATATTATGCCCAAGTAATAAAATGAGCAATCAAATGGCATTGGCAAGCATGATTTGCTGAGGATCCATTCAGTGCACTCAGTCCATACATGTACTGCTTTTGCTGAGGCATTGCAGGGCACCTGGTTAATGATGGCTTGTGACCAGTTGGGGAAATTGTTAGCTAATCTGCTGAGTGTTTCTTCTTGCTCTTTTAGAAGGAATTAGGGCATGCTGTATTGGCTGAACAGAGTAGGAAATTGATCAAAGATTCACATCGTTGTCTGGTTTTGTTGGATGGTACTCGATCTTATGTGTTGTGACCACGTGCCTTGTAATACAGATGTTTCTTCATTTTTGGGATTTAAGGTGTCGATGATTTTGGTTATGGAAGCGTTTCCTTGTTTTGTGAATGGTGGTTGCCAAGGATTTTTGTTTTTGGGTTGCCTAGGAGAATGACGGTGTAGGGTGCTCCTGATTGATCAAGATGGCTTAATTCTAATTGCAGTATGCTAAAACAATCGTTTTTTCACAATGCTCTTCTTTGCCTATGCAAGACCTCGGTTTCCATGGCACCACTGGACACTGGAAGATGGTTCAGGTATTTTCTGGTTTAGCTATTAAATGGCATGTTTTTCAAGTCTTTGTTCAATCTATCTTTTATAAAACAGTGAATCGACAATTCGCAATCTTGTGGATGATTGACTTGCTTGTTAAAGATCTTCCTGGTGTAGATTATCCTCTCCTTGATGCTGGAATCTGGGAGCATTTTGATGTTGCTGCTCCCTGCATTGTATTTCTGTCAGTGTTGTATTATGGTAACATTTTTTTTGAAACTACTATGGTGACATTTTTATTATTGAAGTCACATGCATTTGCTATTGCTGGCTATAATTTGTTGTGTTTTCATGCCTCAGTAGTTGCATTGTGGGAGCACTTCAGTGGATAGAAATTTGTTATTTGTTGTTCTGTGTGTTTTTCCTGTTTTTCCTCTGTTTCTTGCTTTCTGTACATTGTGTCATTTTGTGATAAACAGACTTTTTGATAAATGGATCAATGGGAAGGACCAGCGTGGTGGAAAGCTTTTTCTTTCTCTTGCCCCACAGTTAATCAAGGGTGTCAGTATACACTGTAAGTTTTCTACTTGACTATAAAAATCGTACATTTTTCAGACCTCAGATTTAGTTAGTCCACGGCATGCTCACTATGGGTTCTAATGTATAACACTATCTCATCCATGTGTTATGTTTGTCTTGCAATAAAAACGAGATAGCGTGGATTTTTCATTCAGACAGAAACATAATAAAAAATATGTTAATGTTGAACTATTGTAGCTATCTTCCAGTTAGCAATGTTAACAAGTGTGGATTGTTTTGTTTGCAATTCTTTGATTTTTCAAAGTCTATCAGATTACTAGGGTATGTTGCTTTCTTAATTTCTTTTGTTAGTACAGTCGTTGACTGGATGCATGGCGTGATAGTTTCACCATCTACCTCACTGTATTTGACCATTTCTTGATTTTACAGCATGTAAATGCTTTTGTTGTCACATGACCCATCTTTTAGTTGTGAAATTAATTGCAAATGTCTTGATATATTGGGAGGATGTACTTCTACTTCATATATTTGACAACTTGATTTGATTACAGAAGATCATGAGTCCATGTTGAATCAGCACTAAGCATTGAACTTTGTTGGAAGTGCACTCTTTTTCTAGAAATTATTTCACTTGAGAAGGATGCATTTACTTGGACCTGTCATCATATGTATGATATCTGACGTCATAAGGATCCAGTGCAGGTTATGTTGTTCAACAAGGATGAATGACCCGGTTCTGGCAAGTCTTCACCGACTACAAGTGGAAGACAGAGGCACAATCATATATGTCGCGCACATCGTCACATTGATGAATTACAGAGGCTAGATTATTTGCTATAAGGCAGGCTGAATTAATCCTAGGAAGTAGATTCATTTTTGTAGATTTTTCCCCTTCTATGTCACTACGGGCATCAGTTGCCAACCATTGTACTATAGGGCATAGGTATTCATATTCCATCACTATGATTTGAACCACTGAATGGTCTCCTCGGTATGAGTATGACTTCATCCATGAATTTGCCATGCTTTGCCCCGATGGGCATGTTTATGGGCATATGCATGTCCAGAGTTTCACGGGTGATGTGGTATTAAATGAACAATGGATGAATATAGACGTGCCTAAAGAGTACGATTATTGATAGCTGCACCTAAACGCCCAAGCAGAGTTAATTGGGACGCCTAGAAAATCAACTTAGCTTAAATGCGTGGCTATTTTGTGTATCTACTGTGAGGTTGGCTATTTTGTGTACCTATTGAGAGGTTGAGAAAGACAGAAGACTGAGTCATTGAGTCAAGCACATGCTCATGTGGGCAAAGCCACCGTGATGCGCATGGGCACGGATTCGAGTGGGAGTTAACGATGGAAGAAGAGAGGTTTGGGACCGGAAGGGATAAATAAAAGCAGTACCAGATTGGTAATGTCGGAGTTTAACCCTTTTATTATTGAAATACTTCCTCCGTTTCTGAATGAATCAAATTCCTAACTAAAGCTATATTAAGTCGGTGTTTTTTTAAAAAAAAAATAATCAAATTTATAGAAAAAATGTAAAAATTTATGACATCAAATTATAGGAAAAATGGAGGCAACGACATAGTGGAGGTGGTGATGCGGTCACGCGGCGGCTAACATAGCATATGCTCCGGCAGCTGGCTGTGGTGCCAATGCCGTCGAGAGCAAGGCGTCTGCTTTCCTACATGGACCGTGAAGCCCTTCCGCCACCGCGATTTAGAAGAATCGAATCCAAAGAGACAACAGCAGCTTGGGTCAGAAAAGTTCTAGTACATTCAACGTGAAATCCTTCCATTTTCCTATTTATTTGATATACTTGTTGAATTAGTTGTTGTCGATTTGTCTGACGGAGACCTCTCTCGAGATGACTGCACAGGTATGCGTACTGATTGAAGATTTATTTTAATTAAATTAGATAACAAACTACTCATGGATTAGTTCAACTATCAGTTAATCCAGGTTCTAATAAGATTAAGTTTTATTTCTAATAAAAAATTTTGGGAAAATATTTATTTACTAAAAAGTTAAGGTTTTAAAGATTCATAATATTATATTTATTTTATTTGTAATGTTTATAACGAAAAAGATAAACTTTGATGGAAAAGAAAAAACAAAAAAAGGAACCTACGTGCGGTATACACCGCATCGCAAGCAGGCGGACACCACATAGAAAAACGAAAATAAAAAGGACAGGAATGCCGTAAAGGAAAAACGAAAAGAAAAAGAACACGGTTTTTAAAAAATTACGGTAGAAATTTTGGCTATTTAATATTTGGTAGATAGGGATATAGATATAGAAGTAAGACAATATTTTGTTCAATTTTTACTTGAATATTCTTCAATCTGGGTTAGGATTCCTATTCAGCTTATTCCTCATGATTGGAGAGATCTATTTAGATTAGAATTTCTAACCATCTAGGTTACCTTAAAAACCTGTATTCAATATGTTATATAAAACATGAGAGTTGTAGAGAGGCAAACAAAGATAGTTTCCACGTTCATGAAGTTCATTAGTGGAAGACAATATTAGGTACACAAGATACACCATAGAAAAATTTTATGTTCGCTTTGGTTAAACATAAAAAAATAACTTAAAACTGGCCAAAAATTAATTTATTCAGGTTTTTCAATGCCGGCTTCTAACAAGTTAGGGCACTCGCAGTGCAAGAAACCATGATTAGTTTCTAGAGCATAGGATACCGTACCGGAAAACTATCCTTCCTCCCGGTGTAAGACTTTTTCCTAGTGTCCTCATAAAAAATGAACCAATCAATCACAGTGTTCCTCTGTCTCATCGAAGGATCCTCTGTGAAGAAACCACACCACACGGCCGTGCGCGAGGCGAGTCCATAGTGAAGCCACGCCTATGTCCGAGCCCCAAGCTAGCACTGGCGGCCGCGTCCTCGCCGCCCACCAGGGCCGAGGCGTCCATAGCCTCGACGGCAGTGGAGGAGCGACCCTCGCCTGGCCCGGTAGCCGCGCTCCCGTGGCGCAAGCTATGATGGCGGCAGAGGCGCCTGCCCCAGCAGCCGTGCTCCTGTGGCGCAAGCCGCCCGCCGCACTCCTGCCCCGTCCCTGCCTCCCGCACACGAGCTCCCGTCGGCGGCGAGCGAGCTCTGCGATGGCGCGAGATCCCACCGGCCATGCGTGAGAGAGGTCCACCGCGCGAGGTTCCGCCGGCTACGCGCGAGTGAGGTCTGCCAGGCGCGAGATCCGGCTGCGCAAGGTCCCATCGGTGGCGAGCAAGATCCGTCGCGGAAGGTACCGCCGGCGATGAGCGAGGTCTGCCGAGTGAGAAGAAGGCTTCGCGCATGGGATCCCGGGTGCCGATAGAAACCATTGCCCTCCTCCACAACGCGGTTTCAGGTGGTTTCGATTGCTTCGACGCTCGTGAAGACTCGATTTTTAGAATCGGTTTCTCCATTTCCTCCGCTCTCTCTTCATTATATTGATCACCATATTAGCAAAATGCGTAATTAACAGGGATAGAAATTATGGTAATTTTTGCGTTGGGAGTGCTCTTAGGGCAGTCTCAATAAAAGAAACCATAACAATTTTTATGACATAGGATACCACACTAAAAAACTACTCTTTCACTGTGCAAAATTTTCTAAACTAAGTCAGCAAATTGATGAGTTATCAGTGAAATTAAGAGGGATAGAAACTACTATCAATGTCTCATTGGGACTGTCCTTAGAGCAAGACTAATAATACAGCCAGCTGCTGACTGCAAGGATCCTTATAGCCTACCTCCCAGCCCACTCGTATAGTTGTTAGCTCTTCATTATTAATATATGGCCCACTCATCTCTCTCATAGAGTTTTTTTTTGGTTCTTGTGTCATAAGCCGGCTGTAAGACCCCCCACCTCTTCCACTCCAGGTCTCCCTGCAGGGCTCTCCAGCGGAAGCAAGAGAACGCCCACCGATCCAAGCGAGAAGCACTCTTCGTCGACTTCAAGCAAGGTACACGAACTGGTTTTTGCCTATCTCTACTACTAGTACTCATACAAATTCCTGGTTCAGGGCGTCGGTGAATCGTATTGTCAGTCAGGTAGAATTATTACAGGTTTCATCTCATTTGTTTTGTTGGATCTTAAGATTGATTAGATCGAGAATATTATAATTGTTCATCGTATTTTTGCCAGAAAAAACTTGTTCATCAAGAGAAGGATGGAATATAGTATTAGATAAGAATTCTTGTTATATATCCTTGCCACAGAATCTAACAAATTAAATTGCTTTACCTTCAAAATAATTTATTTTTCATATACATAAATGAACAAACAAATATGGTCCAAATCGTTTATATCTATATATTGGCCAAACTTTAATTTGTGACTTGTAGATGATTTGTATTAATCTTCTTAGGATCTGTTTGATCTTATGATTGATTAGTCAGGTCAAAAGTATTGCAATTGTCAACGTTTTGTTGCCTATTTTTTTCATCTATACCGAACGGCGGTATTACATAATCATAATACGAAGTGTTCTTATATTATGTGTATGTCCAGATGTTTGTTATCCATTGGTCAACAATTTTGACAGTAGATCTATCTTCTTTCTTCTACTACCTGTAGTTGTCGACATTTTGCCTATTGCTTTATATAGCCTAAATAAATAAAGCACGACTAAAGAATATGTATGTGCTGTTACTTTTAGTTGCTGGTGGAAATTGTTGGATGCATATTCTGTTCAATTTGATAGATCCATTCTAGAAAACTTAAGTGTGCTCTAGCTTCTGTAATAACTTCAGAGTCTTCTTGGCCAATTATTCGGCGCCGGTTGTCAGTTCTATTCTAACACTAGAAAATGTACAGTTAAAGCTGAACACATGTATGTATATGCACTTTTATCTCTTCAATGTACAGAATTGAGTGAACCATGTAGTTTTAATGATTGCTGAAGATTTAACTCTGCCTACAATGTAGGCTTAGTGCTACACCATGTTTTGTATAGACAATAATGCTTTTACGCAGTAGATTTCAGTCTTGCTTCTACTTTTTTTTTTATATATACTATATGTTGCAATCGTTGTCGTAGATTGCCTAAATTAGATAGGCACAAATTAAATCACTCTATTTG